AAGAGAGTATATATATATATATATATATATGCTAGAGGGCTCCGCTCGCCAACTCCCGATAATTGCTACGCAATTACATTTTCTTTCGCTTCGCGAACAAACTTAAAGTCGTTTTCCTGGAGATTAGATGGCAATTTTTCTGCACCAACATCGCATAGAGAGAATATGATAGGATTGTAAAATGTCAGAGGAACTTATTATCAACATTATAAACTTATATGAAACAATTTCAATACAAACAATATTATAAACTTACAATATAAAGCGAGGAAGCAATATTATTTAGCACTTTATTATAGGGCATTAGCCGGAGATTAATTTCCGTATCCGAAGCACTCATGGTAGAGCCTAATTCAAATCATTGTCGCTCTTATAGGATGCCGGACGCTCCCTATAGGGTGCTTTATCTCCCCCCCCAGTAATTTAAATTTTAAACTAAAAACAATTAAAACCTGATGAAAAAAACTTTACAAAAGTTACAAACAAATTAAAACATATAATATTAATAAGTTGAGTCTAAGTAATATTTCAAAAGCAAATACCATTGCAAGTAATTGCTCAATTAACTTCAATACTGTCAACTGACAAAATATTTTAGTTTCAATCAGAAGTATTCGTAAGTACACCAAGATATTCGTTTTCATTTAAACGTCTTGACTTTTCAACGTTTCTTCGCCGCGCATTTCGCCGTCGCCTATTGATAGCACTACGATTATTTTCCAGTTAATTTTGTGAAGCTAAATCATGTTCTGCTCTATGCCGCTGTTGATATCGCCTAAGATATTCACGGCGATCCTTTTTCTTATAAAAGATATAAGTATTTGAAAGTAATCTTTGTTCAATATATTTTGATAATTTGGAATGTATATAGTTTTTTGAGAGAGTGTTGATTCGTGCTTCCAATAACTCTACCCGATTTATCAAAGCTATTAAAATACATCGGAATTCTGAAATAAATAACTGCGTTCTATCAAAACAAACATTTTATTTTAAAGCTTTAGAACAACTATCTTTTTACATTGTCACTCAAAATTATTAATAAACTGGATAATATTGCGTTAATGACACTTTTATCTAATGACATCATAAACAATCGTTTGCATAAAGTTTTGTTCATAATAATCACATATAATCGTTTGCATAAATGATCGTTCGGTCTTTTTATAGCTTTACATAACAAGTGTGAGATTTGTTTATTTTTTTAGACACTACCATGCTATTGCCCAATTGATTGAATCAAGCGATATTGCTCAACCATTGACTTGGACGTGTTTAACTTCTTCCATTGTTTACATTTCTTTGCTTTTATTCAAAAATATTTTTCCGAACTCAATACTCAGTTATCAACAAAAATCCATTCTTGATCAAAAAATTGTTTACATCAGTCAAAAAAAAAATAGTTGTAAATATTTTTTTTCCTTTTCTCATATAAAAATCTCATCACGTCAACGACTTTTTTTTTCTTACTTCAAAGTCGACCAAATAATCGACAATGTGTCGGTAATAAGTATTCCTTAAGGTGTCATGCCCTAGAGACGGCTTAATCTCAATTCTGAAGCCCTTACACAGGAAATGGGAAAACCATCCCTGCTTAAATGAAACACGAAGTGATCATCAAAGGCGGAGGCTGTCTTGCTCCTTTGTTTAATCCTGGGGGAAATTAAGGAGCTTTCTTGAGCGATGATGTTAAACACGAATTTTTCTTCGGTAATTAATATTTTAACACTTGTTATATTTTATCAATACGTATTTGAAGAATAATGGTTTTGTATAGCTTTAAAGAATCCGATTAAAATAATTGTGTATTCATATTTTGGTGCTTGTTTCCCAAATTATATTACGGAAAATCGGGATTGCTCCTGTCTATTCTATGATAAAATGTGAAATTTTGAAGTAGTAATTGAATCAATTTAACTTTTTATTTTATTTGAGTCCCATAGTAGAGTAGCAGTTTTCAGAATTGAGGTTTAAATGGAATACGTCTAACGATTCTTAAAAAAAAGGAAAATTTGAAATAACGACTTTATTGTAGTATTTTGCATAGAATTAAGCAATTCAAGACTCATCAGTACCTTTTGATGCTCATCAGTACCAAATTCACACAGTATAATACACTCATGTTCTTAAATTAAGGATGATTCAGAATCACTCGGAAATGGAAATTCAAATTAAAAATTTCACTTGTAGAATTATCATGCACATCTTCAAAAATAAAATCTAATTACAGTAAGCGACCAGAGATGCCAATAGTACGTCTCAATAACGAGAGCGTAAGAGCGCCGAATATATAAGGAATAATGACACAGATGTAAGCATTTACAAGAGCTCCGTAAGCTGCTGACTGTAATAGCCGAATAGTTATAACGCAGAGGACGCATGTGGAAAACTTTTACATGGTAAAAATATTTGTCGCATGAAATAAGATAGAAGTAGGAACTTGGAGTGGATATAATCGATAGAATGTAGATGTAATAGATAAAATGTGGATGTAACAGAAGTAGAAACTTGAAATTGCCCAAAAAGACATCTGAAGGCTTTTTCAGCAATGACAGATGTGAAAGTCAGTAGACACTACAGCACAGATCACCCTCAAGTTACGACTTCAAATAAAGACGTGTATTTGGCAGTAACTACAAAGAGAAGCTAACAGAGCCCAGCATCCAATCTGGATCATTAGCTATCTGCTTACATGGATACCACAGTTTCAAGGCAAACCGTGTATAAATCTTTGAGAAATATAGGTCAATAATCTCGAATGCAGAATGCAGCACGTCAACCACCTCAACCGTGTATACTGGAACTTCGCAGAGCATTGCTGATCCAATGGAGTGATCTTCCATAAAACCAGTTTGATAATTTGTTGCTGAGCATACTACCCAGCATATTTAAAACCTATATTATTTTTGTAAGAGAAAAGAAGCTATAGGAATCTCCATTGAGTTTGATTGCATAAGAAAAAGCGTTTGAAACCCAATTTAATTTTAGTTGGAAAAAAAAACTGTATGTTGCCCTTTAAGAAAGCGATATATGATAGATGCAAAGGATAATAAATGGTACATTAGACTGTTTTTCAAAAACCAATGAAATAAAGCACTACAATTATTTTATTCAAGTAAAAAAGAGTTTTTGAGCATTAGTATATATTTTATTTTTAAAACCTAAGTTGATAATCTTTCAAAATAAGAATGGATAGAATTTGATTGAAATCACTTCAGAAAACCAAAAATAGCCATAACGCATACAAAAAATTATAAAAGAAATTAAAATAATATAAAATAATTTAAATATGGGTTTAAAACGAAGAACGTAAGTTACAATTATTCTAATTATAATAGTTATTCTAATTACAGCAATTATTTCTATTATAATAATTATTCTAATTAGAATAATTATCATAATTATTTAAAATAGTAATTACTTGATAAAATCTAGTTAAGCGCCTTCTAAAAATCAGTTTTGTAAAAAATGAAATAAAACTAAATTATTTAAAAACATACTAAAGTACCAGTACTTGCTTTGGGACAATCTATAGCTAAATTTGATAAGCAAGAAAGCTGTACTCAAACAAAATTATAATGACAGTAAAATTTCATTGCAAAATTCATTTAAGCACAGTATATTTTACCATGTTTCATTGATAAAACGTTACTTTGTGCAAGGATTTAAAATCTGACAGCCATTTACTAACTAAATTTAAATGAATTGATGGTTAATACTTTCAACACTTTTGTTTTCGTTCAGGTTCACTGTGATAAATCACAATTTAATCTGTACAAAGGAATGAAATTCATTCATGCAACAACGGTTGTTGTTTGGATGGGAATATCATTTGTTCCCTTTATAATTAACAAATGTCATAATATAAATCTAGGTATTTTGATACGCGAGACTTGCTTTATGATTTATTGCCTTTACTGTGTGATTAATACACGCAAGGATGGATAGGTTGAATAGTTTAGAAAATATTATTTTATCCTTCGAGTATTTTGGAATGAATATGTCGTAAGTTCTCTATAAGGATACTAGTAGTATTTGAACTAGTATTGTTGACGCTGCATGAAATTACAGAGTTTGATTTTATAAATACATTTTTAACTATTGAAGACCTAAGGTGTACTAAGTTTGATTCCAACAGGGCATTTCGTAGTTTTTTTTATTGTTTTGTTTAAAAAAAATTTATTAAAATTACTTTCTATGAATCTTCCTCTAAAAACATATTTCATAATAATTAGTCCAACCTAATTCAAGTAATTGAACTCAATTGACAAAAATTCCAGCGAAAGCATTTTTTTTTTCTATAAATCGTCCTGTAAAAGTCTAATTCTTAATTTTTTTTGTAAGTTACATCCATCTTCCTCTAAAAACATATTTCATAATAATTAGTCCAACCTAATTCAAGTAATTGAACTCAATTGACAAAAATTCCAGCGAAAGCATTTTTTTTTCTATAAATCGTCCTGTAAAAGTCTAATTCTTAATTTTTTTTGTAAGTTACATCCATACAGTTTAATTCTTGTTATTCAACTCCGTAGATTGCTTGTCACTGCAAAAAAAGACGATACACTTCAAACAAAAATTACTCTCTAGGAATCTTCCTGTGGAGGTATTTATAATATTTTTTCCCTCATTATCTTCTTACTGTATAAACCTTCATATTGGACCCTTAGGACAATAGAATTTTAGAGAAGACTACGTTTTAGGAATCGTTTTGTGAAAATCTTTGTTGTAACTTTCGTTTCTTTGTAATATTCGGGGAGTATAATTCTTATAATCGAACTCTTAGGAAGAAAGACATCCAGCTAAAACTACGCTCAAGGAATCTTGTACAAGTCTCTGTCGTAATGTTTTTTTTTCTTAGTAATATTCGGGAAGTATTTTTTTTATCGGACTCCAAAGAAGGACTCTCAGCGAAAATTACTAAGTATCTTGGTGTAAAGCTTTTTTCATTATTTTCTTTACAAAATAATAATATTCATTCAATATGGAGAAGAAGAACTTCCTAATGTCTTAAAATTACTTTCTAAGAATCTTTGCGTAAAGTTTCGTTGCTTTTTTTCTCTTTAGTAATAGTCATCTAATAAAACTGTTGTTATTGTACTCTAAGAGAAAAAAGACCAACAGCGAAAGCTGCCTTTTAAGAATATTCTTGTAAAATTCTTTGTTGCAATTTTCCTTTCTTTGCAATATTCCTACAGTATAGTTTTAGTTAATGAACTCTTAGAATGAGAGACTTCCGTTGAAAACTTCCTTTTAAGAATCTTTTTCTAAAAGTCTTTGTAGCAATTTTCTTTTCTTCGTAATATTTGGGCATTTTTCTTGTTATTGGTCTCTAAGGAAGAAATACGTCCATTGAAAATTACTTTCTAAGAATCTTTGTGTAAAGTTTCGTTGCTTTTCTTTTTCTCTTTAGCAATAGTCATCTAACATAACTGTTGTTATTGTACTCTCAGGAAGAACGACCTACAGCGAAAGCTGCCTTTTAAGAATATTCTTGTAAAATTCTTTGTTGTAATTTTCCTTTCTTTGCAATATCCGAACAGTATAGTTCTTGTTATTGGACTCTTAGGATGAGAGACTAAGAAGAAAAACCTACAGCGGATACTACGTTTTAGGAAAATATTCTTGTTAAAGTCTCTTGTCATAATTCTCTTTTCTTTATATCATTTGTAGGCTATGTAATTCTTGTTATTAGACTCTCACGACAAAAGACTTTTACCGAAAACTACGTTTTAGGAACCTTGTTGTATCTCTTTTATAGTTTTCTTTTCTTTGTAATATTCGGGTATTATTCCTGTTATTAAACTGAAACTGTTATTAACTGAAGAAAGGCTTCCAGTGAAAATTACTTTCTATGAATCTTTGTGTAAAGTCTTTTTCATTATTTTCTCTTTTTAGTTATATTCATTGAGTATAACTCTCGTTATTGGACTCTGAGAAAGAAAGACTTCCAGCGAAAATTAATTTTTATGTTTCTTCTTGTAAAAATTTCTTTCAAAATTCTCGCTCTTTACATCAATCGTTCAACGTAACACATGTTTATACTTTTTTGAGAGTCATATGCTATTTTCATAACTGATGTGAGTGAACAGTGACACTCATGCTTGTTTGGTTAAGATTAGCCTATCTTTGACCATCACTCTATATGTTTATTCTGACAATGCCACGAAACGTCAATATTGAGAAAAGTCACAGTTTTGTGAAAATAAAAGGAGTTTATGGTCTAATTTTTTAATATTTAAAAACTTATTCCACTGCGACATTATCTAAGTTTATAACAATTTTCAAAAACTGAGAACAAAGGCAGTGATTTTGATAATTTTCATCTAAGTGGGAAAATACCGCCAAATTGGCGATTTTTTTAAAAAAAAAGTTAATAACCCTTAACATATTTTAAAAAAAAATTATCCGTTCTAAAGCCGAGATAATTCTTCACATCAGGATATCTATAGAAAATCATTGTTTTGCTTAAAGTGTAAGGTACTTGAACTGTGATATATTTTTTTTAATTTTCTTTGGTGACAGAGCTTCGAAAAATTATGTTAATGGATTCAAAGGACGAAAGATCACGAGAGAAAATATTTTTAAGTGAAAATAAAGCTGAAATATATCTAACTATAAAAAAATTCCTAATTTTCTATTTTTCACAATATCCGTACTGTAAAATTCTTGTAATTGGTCCCTAAGGGTGAGAGACTTCCAGCAAAAATTGCTTTCTAGAAATCTTACCGTTAGAGTCCTTTTATAATTTTCCCTTCATAGTAATATTCGTACTGAAAAATTCTTGCAAGTGTACTCTTATGACAAAAAGTCTCTAGTGAAACGTAAAAGGTGTTTCATCACCTTAAATCAAAAAGGAATGAAATGGGCGAATTCAAACCTTTTAAGAAGTTAAATAAATGCTATAAGGTTTGATGGAAATGTCACATTGGAGGCGTTAGTTAGAGTTTTTAAATTTATTTTAATTACTTAAGCTTGCAAAAGTTAAGGAACCCTAAAATATTCTGTGAAATTTAAGGTCATTACATGGATATCAAAATACATTCTTATAAACAGACATGGTAGAGCTTAAATTCATACAGAATTTAGGAAAAAAACAAAACAATGGATCTTACAAGATGTTGAATGTTTCAAAACTTATATAAAATAACTGAGGGGACAATTAAAGTATAAATTATAGTTAATTAGCAATGTATCTAACGTTGTTTATATAAATCTATATGATATTCACCATGTGAGATTTCTTTAATTCTATACAAATATATTTAAATTTGTCTTAAAAGATCAAAAAATTATGATGATCATTTGGACAAACTTGTGTAATGAAGAAATGTTTCTTATTTATTTGACTCCAAGACTATCTTAAGCCAAAATGCGTTAACAAAATGTATGTTTCATAAGGAAAAAAGAGAATTTAATAGAGATGCACATAAAATATGATAGTTTTTTTAGGGATTTTGTGTTTCTGCATATTTTTAAAAGGCAGCAATATATTCATCGTATTTATTTCTATATTATTATAGTTCTATATTAAGGCGGCAAGACTCAAGAGTTGTCAACTTAGTTTAAGAAATACCCATAATTTTGTGGCCCCGTAAGGTAATGGAAAAAATCATCAGGAATAAGCTT